ACACACACACACACACACACACACACACACACACACACACACACACACACACACACACACACACACACACACACACACACAGGCGCAGGCGTGCAGGGCGAGCACTTACGCGACATTTGGGAGTTTAATCCAACCACGCTCTCGTGGACGAAGCTCCAGCCATGGTTCACCAGCCCAAATTCGGCCTTTATGGAGGCCATTCGGTCGTCACCGGACAGTTTGTCCCATCGCGACAGCTGGGGCCAGGTCTCCATCGCCCTCGACAAGGTCGTGCTTGTTTGTTCGTTTGTTTGTGTTTTGGCGCGTGCGTGTATGTATGCATTTGTGTGTATCAAAATGTGTGTATTGGAACGCATACCTGCGCTTTCATGCCCATGTGCGAGTGTTAAGTTCTCACCATCCTTGCATGCCACATCACGCCACTCGACGGTCTTCCGTTTGCATTCCAACACCTGTGTCTTCCTCCTCCAATAATACCTTTGCAGAATGCCGTTCTCGCCCACTCCTTCCTGTCCTTTGGCGGATTTGAAGCGGACAGATTTTCCTCCCAGGCATCCAGCCGCATCAGGGTGCGCATGCGACCTGTGTGTGTGCGATATGCATGTGTGTGTGTGCGTGTGCGTGCTGTGTGTGTGTGTTTGGTGTGTGTGTGTGTGTTGTTGTGTGTGTGTGTGTGTGTGTGTGTGTGTGTGTGTGTGTGTGTGTGTGTGTGTGTGTGTGTGTGTGTGTGTGTGTGCGTGCTGTGTGTGTGTGTTGTGTGCGCAGCTAACTCCACACTGCTCCCACCTACCCACTGACCCCAACACTCCCTTCATCTGCCCCCACCCACCTCATAGGAGTACGTGCGACCGCTGGCACCAGGCCACGACCACCTCGTGTTGTGGCGGGAGGCTGGAAACACCGCTGGGCCGTTCAGCCGCACGCTCGGCGCCGCTGCGCTGTGGGCGCGACCGAAACCCGCCAATGCCACGACAAAACTCAAACTCAAGTGCTCGTCTCTGCCATGGACCTGGAACAACGTGGTGCGTGCGTGTGTGTGTGTGTGTGTGTGTGTGTGTGTGTGTGTTTGTTTGTATGCTGTCGTGTGTGCTTGCACTCTCTCGTGTGCATGTGTTTATGATTGCCCCCTTTGCAGTCATCGCCACGCTCATCACTGCCATGTCCTCTTGTGCTGTTCACGTGTGTGCAGACGTACACCGGTTGCGCAAAACCGATTGGCTTTGACAGATTCATGTATGTACTCGTCTGCATGACGTGTTGCCCATAAGTGTGTGCGTGCGTGTGTGTGTGTGTGTGTGTGTGCGTGTGCGTGCGTGCGTGTGTGCGTGTGTGTGCGTGTGTGCGTGTGTGAATGATATGATGTGCAAACAGTAGAAGCGCAATTCCACGTAACACACACACACACACACACATACACCCATACATACACACACACACCCCGGCAACAGCTGCCGCGTCGAGTACTTTTCTGAGTCGCGACCACCGCGCTGCTGGGACCGGACCGCGCATCCGGAATTCCTCTCTCTCCCGCCGAAAACACAGGACAACGAGGAGCAGGCCTTCTTCTACGATTTTTGTGACGACACCTCGGTTGGTTCGAAGTGCATGTGTATGTGTCTGCGTCTGCGTGTGCGTGTGCGTGTGCGTGTGCGTGTATGCATGTGCACGTGTGAACACCATCCCCACTCCCTCCCCAGTGTGTTCGCGCGTGTACAACTCAGCGTCCCTTCATCGCCTTCGATTGCACCGCTGCAGGTGCTGCTCTCTGGCGGCGTCTTCAACGGCGATGCGGACCACATCGGCGTCATCGGTCCGTTGCACACACCACAACAAACAAACACACACACACACAACAACAAACACACACACATGCTACGAGTGAACACGCTCACGTGTAGAGATCATGCAAACCCACCTCTTGGTCTTCCTTCAACTCCCTCCTCTTCCTCCTCCTCACCACCACCACCCACCAACAATTTTCTACATCATCACCAATCGTCTACATTATCGCCAGACTCGCCCGGGATGGTGTGGGTGTTGACGGACGATTTCTGGGCGCTGGACGGAATTGTGTACACGACGGACGAGAACGACCTCCCACGCAGCCGAACAGAGTGAGAGGCGATGGTGTTGTTGTTGAGAGAGAAGTCTTTGTTGAAGTGTGAATGGCATCTGATGTGATGAGCTCTCGCTCACATATCCACACACACACACACATGAAAACACACACATATAACCACACACACATGAAACACACACACACACACACACACACACACACACACACACACACACACACACACACACACACACACACACAACAACAACAACACA